CTGCAATTAACTAACCCTTGTAATGCACTATTTATGCGACCATCTGACACTTGGCCGTCACTTTAAAATTTGTCTGGGCGTTACACGTGTGGACCGGCCTTTGGACCCGAGTACTTTGTTCTTCTTGGAACACACGTAATCTGCACCATTTATTGAGTCTTCTGCTCGGTGCGAGGTCTTAGCAATCTCAACGGTCAGGGTTTACATTCCAACTAGCAGAGACTAACATTTCCTACTTTGTGGACACTGGTGTCGCCCATGGGTTTGCAAGCACGGTGTTTTGATGTATACGGAAATTTATAGATTTAAGCGGTATAATTGGTGCTTCTAGCAGAGATTAACGTCTCTATGACGGTCATATACTTTGCAAAGTATCTCTTTATTGACTTTTAATTAATTTAATTAATTTAATTTTAACAATTTTGTACTTGTTTCGTAACAAAAGATTATTTAATTGACTTTATATTAAATCATTTTTGCCCTTTTATTTATAGATCTAAGTTGTTATAATTGCTGATCCACTACTCCTTACCGCCGTTTTTGGTGTCAACAAAATCACGTTGTTGGATTTGTACTAATTTGGGCTTGCCTAAATGGATCCGAATCGCATAGTTCATGCTTTACAAGCATCCTTACAACCAGAACAAAGGGAAGACGCTGAGAAATTGCTAGTTGAGGTAGGTCCAATTTTGTAAACGCACGACTTAGATGCATAAAATTATTGGATTTGCCCCTACGCTCCTTCAAATCGTGCTAGAGCAAACACTTGATCTTTCTGTCCGCCAAGCTGGGGCAGTCTTTTTTAAAAATATGATTTTAAATTCTTGGAGGCAAAGGGGGCCACTCACACCTGATGAACCTATTCCATTTCAAATCCACGAAAATGATAAAGCTCATATTCGGAACGTTATTGTTCCCGCAGTTGTCTCCTCTATTATTCCCATACAGTACGCTGTATTTGATTGATGACATCTTAAGGTCTATTCTGCAAGTTGCCGTGGCAAAGATTTTGAAATTTGATTTTCCTTCTCGTTTTCCTAATTTTGTTGACCAACTTACGGGCTACCTTGATTCTATGGACTTTCGGGAATTTCATGGAGCTCTCCTCTGTTTACATGGTCTAGCTCAGGCTTATGAGCACAAAACCAATGATAAAGGTCCACTTCCCCAAACAATGAACACCCTCCTCCCTCTCCTTCACCATCGAATGAATGCTTTGGTCTCAGATTCTTCTGATGAATCTCTTACGCTCCAAAAGCTCATTCTTAAGATCTTTTACCGATATACTGACTACTACTTGCCAACGTCTTCGATTAATGAGGAGGTGAGTGTGTTTTTAACGGCGATCATATCTTTAGTGGGTAACTCAATGGCATCTTTTAATCTGTTCCCTTCTCGAAAGTTTTAATTGTTCGGATGACGATGCGACCAGTGTTTACTGGAAACGTCAAAAGTGGGCTGCGCGCATTCTCTACTGTTGGTTTACCTCCTACGGAAGTCCTGGCAATGTTCAGAAAAAATATGCTTCTTTTGCAGATTGGTATCTGAAAAGCTTCTCAAATCAGATTCTCACTACTTTTCTCAAAATCTGTGATGCCTATCGGCAACAGACTTTCATCTCGCCAGTTGTCTTGGCTGAAACACTTTCCTACCTATCCGCTGCGTAAATATCCATTTTAACATCTTGAATATGCTGTTAGGCTAACCCATGCACTATGTTGGAAAATCATTCGGCCGTACTTTGACACCCTTCTACAGGATGTCATCGTCCCTCTCCTTTCTTTTACAAAGGAGCTTGCCGAATTGTGGGAGGATGATCCTCTGGAGTATATCCGTTACAATACTTCTATGTATATGTCAGTCGATAGTCCTTCTGATGCAGCGGCTTCATTTATCAAGGAGGCCTGTTTAAAACGCAAGGGCATTTTAGACAAGGCGATGCAGTATTGCACCCAGGTGCTTAATCACGATTTCAAGCCTGAAGTCAAGGACGGTGCATTGCATCTTATTGGAACAGTTTGCAACATCCTTCTCAAAGACAAAGTGTATAAGGTATGCTATCCTATATTTTAGTTGTTCACTTGTAGGAACAACTGGAAAACTTCTTGGCTGCTCATGTGCTGTCACTATTTGAAGCGCCAGAGGGCTATAGAAGAGCTAGAGCCTGCTGGCTGGTGGGAAAGTTGTCGCGCGTCCAGTTCAGTAATGTGGATATTCTGTGTCAGATTGCCATGGTCTGTCGTCATCTCATGTGCTCGGACTCTAACCTCCCGGTTAGGGTCGCCGCAGCTACCACCATCTTTTCTCTAATTAAAGATCAGAAAGAAGGTCGGTCAAGTTTATCTCTTGTTATTCCTCATTTTTTGTTGGGCTCGTCCCTTTATTCTTTGCCTTTCAGTTGAGAAAACAATGAGTTTACACCTCCCAGAGCTCGTTATGCGTGAGTTGAAACTCATTTCCTTTAAAGCTAAGTTCTTATTCTGCCGTTTCTTGATTTGGTTGAATGCCTCCTTACTAGAATTGCTTAAGCTTCTTCGTGAGACGGAATTCGATGATCTGAATTCTGTTCTTCGTGAGGTACTGGTCTACTCTGATGAACTCCAACCCATATCGGTTCAAATGCTGCAGCATTTGGTAGGTAAACGGATAACTATGCCTCACGCTTATTCACTTATATCGCGATTCGTTACCTCAATTTTTAGTCTGGAACTTTCGTGAAGCTGGTTGGGGTACAAGAGAACGGTGTTGGATTGGTATCCAGTGGCGATAGTGAAAGGGATGGTGAATTCAAATTCGACGAGGCAAAAGAGTACCAATCCTTAGTGGCTACAGGTGTTATGGAAAACATTGAAACTCTCGTCTCGGTTATGGAGGACAACGCGGACTTGGTAGCCAATTCAGAGAGCGTGATAGTGCAGCTGGTACAAGTTATTCTCAAGAATGAAATTGCCGATTTCTACGATGAGGCCTTCTCTTTGATCTGTTCTATTACGCACACACACATCTCTCCACTTCTCTGGACCGTGTACGATTGGCTATATCAGGCCTTTTTAAGCGATGCCAACGATTGCTTCGTGTCCATGGCGCCTTCTTTACACAATTACATAACAGTTGATCCGAAGGGCTTTGTTGCATCCCCCGATCGTGTGAAGATTTTCATATCAATGTGTTCGCAAGTCAGTTTCCTCTCTACTCCATATGCGGAACTTAACATTATGGGGATGTTTATTTGAGTTCTTGTTCAGGCACTTCGCACTGAGGAGGAACAAGCCAATGAGGGTGTCCACGCCGCAAAGCTGTTAGAAGTTTTTGTTCTCAATTTCCGCGGTCAGTTGGACAACTTCATTCCTGAGGTCATTGAACCAGCGATTGCTCGCCTAACACAAAAATCTACCATCATCGAACTTCGCGTCAGGTGTCTTCTGGTGAGATTGAAGCTAAATTTTGTTTTTGATTCTTCGTTCTTCATGTTTGATGTTTCTGCCTAGGTTGTCATAGCAGCAATCATAACTTCATCTCCAATAGTACTGCCTATCCTCTGCAGTCACGTGTGGCCGGAGACTCAAACGCCAATCATCGAAAGCGTTCTCAAAATGTGGATTGACAATATCCAGAAATTTAATGGGTAAATAGTGCTAAATAGTGCATGTCTCAAAGTGTAGAATCCGGTATCACAAAATGCTGAATTTTTGTGAAATGTTCAGCTGGCGAATAATCCATGAATCTGTCCACCTTACCTCCTTCACCATAAAATAAGGTGATTTTTAAGATTGTGGATGACAACCCATCGAGTGCAGATGGACTGCTGTTCAGATCTGAGGCAAATCAGTCAGTGTGGTCTATGTGATACTAACCTTCACCCACATTCTTTTTTTAATGTTCTGTCCGAGTCCGGCTTAGGAGGTTGAGGTCGTCATATGCTATATTCTTGAACTTCTTTCCTGTAGTTTGCATGATCGGCGTGTATGCGTGTTTGGTATGTGCACTCTCCTTTCGTTGAGTGCTGAGCAGAGACCTCCAGCTGTCGATGCTATGGCGGCTCAGTACCTTCCATCACTCCTCCACGTTCTCACTAGTCTCAAGGATGCGTATGCCGCTAAAAGAGAAACAGAGAGTAGGTTTAAGTGTTTGCTTCCCCATTAAAGTGGCACCACTATATTTTTCGACTGCCTTGCTTATTATAGAAGAAGAGGAAAGTGATTCTGATGACGATGGTCTGGATGTCGACGATGATGCTGATGGTGACGTGGCAGTTGACAGTGATACAGATGTGATTGATGAGGAGGGAACTCGATATCTTGAGCTTCTAGAAGCAGTTGTAAGTCAGTCGTTCTCCTCAAAGGCATAGATCTATTTCTTTCCTACCTCATAATATGGCCGCATTTCCAAGGAAGCAGAGATAGGGGATTCGGACGACGATGCTGATGATGACGATGACGACGACGATGATGATTTTGAGGCGGCCTCAGTAATTGAGTCCTTCGAAACTGAACTTGACAAGGAGGAGAATGAAATGGATGAGTATGTAACCTTTTATCAGTTGATGACGCAAATGGAGACGGGTGATGCTGTCTGGTACCAACGTCTCGTCAGTCCTCTTTCTGACTCACAGAAGGCTGAGTTCAAGGAAATTGCTAAGACTGCTGTTAATTGCATTGCTCAGAAAGGTGAGTTAAAGTCAGAAGAATCTTAGGTGAAACTGAGTGGGGCGGGTTTATTTCTCATTAGAAAAATAATTGGAAACTGAGCAGCGATTGCAGTGCATGTTCACTTGCCATTACCTTGGAGTAGGTTCTGCTTTACGCGCCTTCGAATTTCTGGTTTTTTTAATCTCTCTTATCTGCTCTGCAGAGTCGAAGCGAATTGAGAAGGCCGGTGGCTACAATTTTCAGCACACAGATGTTCCAAGTAGCTTTAACTTTTCAGGTGATCAACCACCCCATTAACACAGAACTTCTTCACTATTTTTGGCTTCCTATCCTTCTCTGTTTTGCCACGCATCCCCACTCCAGTGATTGTTTATATGTAAAAAATTGTCCACACACTACTGACTTTTCTTGGCTCCGTTGTTGACATTTTCTCACTGCCTTTTTATTAGCCTCATTAAAATTCTCGCAATCATACCCTATTTCCGTCACTTGCTATTCCCCTGTGCAACCATGGGTTTCTCTACTGCGCGCAGATCCTTCCCCTCCTGTGCTCCCGATGTAGATTCTTGCGACGGTTTCTTGAATTCTGGAATTCCGCTCTGCTAAATTCAGCATTTCAATCTCAGTGTTGGGGAAGTTTATTTGTTTGATGAGTCGTTAGTGTCACATGGACGTTGCCACTCATGAGCATCGAGCGTTGACGAGGCGATATAATGAGTGGTGCCATCTTGAATCCTTTGTATACTTTCTTCGAGCGTCTGTCTCCCTTGGTTTTGCAATTTGCGGTTTTTTACTTTTACCAGCACCTGGCTAGGGTGCATCGGATTGTCCGCTTGCGTCATAGCTGGGTTTGGTACTTCACTCATATCAAGTCGTGAGGGCGTGCTCGGGTATCGTGTTGG